TACTATATAATGTACTATATAATGTAGTACATTATACTATATAATGTACTATTATATATAATAATGTACTAGTATAATCACAAGTCACTATAGCAGACATGATAAGTTTTATTTTATATAAAATAGTTCCCATGCTTTAGCTACATAAATTGTCCACTACTCTTTTGAAACCAAAGTTAAGCCCCTGTATACTTGTACTGTACCAAAAAAAAAGATATAATACTTCTGATGATTGTTTTGACTAATCCTGTAATGTATTTATTTGTTTGTTGAATTCAAGTTTTTCAGTCATTAAGTACTTCAAGTAATGTACCTTCATAAACTTAAAGACGCACTTATATGTTTTATAATAGAAAATTTTGTCCAATGCACACCGTAATTCAAACATGGTCACACTATAGTTAATTGCATCTCTAATAGATGACGTTACATATTTAACAAACCCGTCAAGTGTAGCAAACTAAATGTGTTTTTATATTCATAATGACTTTGGGTTGTACATACTTCACGGCTTCATGGTGTCCAAAATATTTTATAAACGTCATTTGTAAACATGCCCTAAACGTTATCACAATGTTCAAGCATGTAAAAACGTGAAAGAAGAAATAAACTAATTTGTTATCGTTTACGTGGACCGAACTTAGAATTATTTTCACCATAAAATTTAAAGGAAACCGCCAACAAAAAATAACATTACAACAATAATAATATTAAAGAGTTTTAAAAGAAAACAAATAAATGTCAGTTTCTTTGCATTCCATACTTTTAGTATAACGAAAACTAGTTATATCATTCGTTTTTCAACTCAGTTATAAAAAAAATTTGATTCTGTGTATTGTTTTTAAGGTTAATGTGGTCAGGGCTCGAGTTTTGTTATTTAAAGGGCAGGAAATATTTGTTCAAAGGAGATGTTCAAATCCTATTATTCGAGTTGGCGGTGAATTCTTTTTACTAGCTAACTTCCCTCTGGTCTACGAGATAAAAAATTAGGGTCGGCTATTCATATATAACCTCCTATGTAGCTTGGCGCGAAATTGTAAAACAAACAAAGAAAACTAGAACTTTTTTCAAACTACTAGATAAAACTTGTCTGCATATTATGGACTTTAAAGAATTAATTGTCAGAGCAAAGGTATTGTTACGTCTCCGTTTGTTAATTGATTTTCCGTAACTTCGTACCGACGAAACTTAAGCGACACAAGTCTTTACTTAATAAAACTGGTTTATTCTTTCCGAATATAACTTAACCGATACACTCAACTTCAACAATCGCGCTAAACAAACGCTATAGCAACGAACGTCAATAATACTCTGACCGCAGATCAATTACTCACTATCTACACACACATTACCTTCCCCTCTTTTATATACCAGCCTACCCTATATCTAGTAAGAAGTAGAACATTCGCCAAAGTACATGATAGTTCCAGAAACGTTGCGTCACAGTAGTCACGTGACTCGATGACGCAACAGTATAAATGCTTTCAATCCACTACAGTGTTTTACGCTTACAGTACTGTATTTTTAATAAATACTCATGTGACTATTTTGCTTAATTTAACATTCTTGAAACAAAATTCCATTAAAAAATCGTTACTCATTAATAAAACATAGCAATTCATGTGACTCAACACACTACATTTTAGTTAAAGAAGTTATATTCAAATGTTTACATGTTCCTTGATTTGCGTGTTTTATTTTATTTATATTATTTTTTCTTGCTTTAGTAACTAAACACAGATGGCACTAAAGTCACACTGCAGTTTGTAATGGCGATTTGTTGTTGTTTTTTAAATCATTTATGGCAGTCGTAAAGTCGTTTTTGGAATTTGTTTTGTTTTGAGGAACATATAATTGGTGTAAGTACTTCTTTTTAACTTACTGAAGTGTTATAAATACATTCATTTTCTTTAATTGCAGCTTATTTTATTGAAAGTGAAAACTGCAAGCCATTTACAAGTTTACTACGTAGTACTAGACCTTAGCCTAGCCAGGACGTGTAGGTAGTGGAAAAATCACACCCAGAAATCACACTTCGTTTCAGTATAAGTAAATAAAATCTTTTGGTAGGTCATGAATTGTATTCCAAAATTTAGCTTTAAGTTTAGAAATAATGGGCTAAAACGTATAGATGATACAATAGAAAATAATGATTTTTGTGACTTATAAAAGTAAAGGTCATACAACTTACAATAAGTAACTTCTAGAAAATGCCCAATTAAATTGGAAGTAAATACTGTGATTACTGTTACTGTTATTATTATTAGCATGTTAGGTATCACTGATATTACACAACCTTGGTTAAATTAAAATTATAAAAGTGTTATGTTGTTATTTCACAATGTTTAAAGGTTTATGTGACCATGAAATAATACTATCAAAAGAAGGAAAGGAGCTATTTCGTTTGTCAGAAATGATAAGAAATCTAACAATTTGGGTTGAGGTTTATTATACTAAAGTAAAGATAAAAAATTGCCAAGTAACCTATTAAGCATAGTAAATAGTAACATTTTCCGTGGACTTAAAGGACATTGTTCTGTTTAGTTTTTCATTATTCTGGGTTGACTACAAACTCCTCTGAGCACTAGTTGTTTTTTTTTACATAGGCAGTTTTGGTTTCCATGGTGTCCAGAAATCATTCCTTTTTTAAAGCTGAGCAGAACTTTTTGGAGCCTTTACCATATAGCATAATTGGAAATTGGTTAAAAGTTTGCTGATATAAAAATATTATGTTTGAGTGGATTTAAGGAGGAGTTTGCTGTGATTTTGTGGAGAGAAACAGCAGGTGGTATTTAATTATAATAAGTGTAAGATTATGCATAAGTTTGGGGTCTAGTTGACAAGGGAATCTGTGATATAATGTAAACTACTGAAACTTGGTTATACTTGGAGAGAACTGATATTAAGAATTATTTTAAAAAGTGGATGGGTTTTTTTTGTCTTGGGCTCTTTATTTTAAGAAGGTCATCGAGTTGTCAGAAAAGGTGCAAAGAAGGGCTGCTAGGATGATTCTGGAGATAAAAGAACTGCCATATGAGGATAGGTAAAAATTCTTAAATTTATTTTATCTTGAGAAAAGAAGGGTGAGAGATTAAAGTGTTTAAAAGTATAAAGGAGATAGACAGGATTGATACATCTTCTTTTTTGGTGTGTGTGTGTGTGTGTTTAATGATAAGAATGGTAGGACTAGGGAAAATAAATGAAGATTTTAGAGTGTTGAAGCCATTTTCAAATTAAGCAATTTTATTTTTCAAACAGGGTGGTATACCTTTGGAATAGATTGTCATGAGGCATAGTAGACATAGCAGGATTAGGGGATGTCAAGAGAGGCTTTGATGAGTAGAGCTGGGCAGTTAGTAGAATTTTCTAATCAATTAATCATTGGGTTTATTAATTGATTATTCACAAGAGATGGCTAAATAAAAGATTGATTATTCTCACATGAGTTGATCAAAAACTTATGTTACAAATTGAGTTTCAATACTTGCAGTGGTCAGAACATAGATAGACCATTGTGTAGCTTTATACTTAAAAACAAGCATAATGGAAACATTTTAATTCCTTGGATACTTGGACCAATTGAAAGTAGTAATAGTTTGAAACCCTTATTTTAGTTTAGTTTATTACTTTTGTGGCATTTGATTTAATCAAATTTTGATTATTGGATAATTGGAATTATTGCAAACTAATAATCAGAAACATAAATTTTCATTAGTTTATCATTTGCATGGTAATAATTGATTTAATCATAATTTTAACTACTAGAAAGTAAGGTAGTTTTCATTTGCAGGTAAAATTTCAGATTAAAAACTGTGAAGCTTTCACCCCCTAATTTTGTTCTAATGTACAAAAAAACATAAATGTCAAAGTTCATCCATTTTGTATCATATTTAGAGATTGTTTAATGAGACTGAAGCTCTAAACTACAGTAGCCTGGTACTATATGTACTATGTAATATAAAAACATTTGTTATGCATTATAAATTATTTATTTAAATTATATTATTATTTCATCACATGCACAATAGTATAATTATATGATTTTGGTGTGGTTGATCACTTTTACATTGTTATTGTTTCCTTTTTGCTGTGAGGAAAGCATCTTCTATAATTTTGCATAACTTGAAGGAGGAATTGTTTATGTTCTTTCTTTGTTATGATTACACTATACTCCTCAAAAGAGTCACATCCCTTTCAGCATCGTCACTTACTACATTCAAGTATTACGCTGTCTCTAGTGCCTCCCTGTAGTCCTCTTTGAGTTCTCATGACTTGGGTTCATAATCCAGAAATCCAGGTGGAATTTCAAGGCACCTACAGAAGTTTGTTTTGTTCTTTGTGATGAAATCTTCAATTGACATGTCCTTATGGCCAGCGAGCTTAAACTATCCAATAACAGTAGCTTGGCACATTTACATTGACAGAAATCAACTTTGGAACACTTAGGATTTGGTTTATTACTGCTCCAGACAAGGTTACTGGCAGACGGTACACTTATTCTAGAAACTACATTCATGTCATACAGAATATTTCAGAAGTAAAAGGTGACAGAAGAAAATATTTATATACATAATGTTCTTGAACATTCTGAATAACATGAAATACTTTGGAATATTCTAAAATATGCTACAATATTCCAAAATGTGGTAGAATATTACATAATAGTATGCTAGAGCATTCCTAAATTATTTAGAATATTCTAGATATTATACAAACTACGAGGTAAAATTTCAACTACCTTCAGAAACCCCCTAAATGTTCTTTGATAGATTGTTTAGGCAGGGTATTCATATAAAATTTTGTAGAATGAATGGCAACTGCCTGTTGTAGAGACACAAGTGTAGAGGATGATGTTTAGAAAGTCTTCCGCCTTTCGTCTTCAGACGGAAGACTTTTGAAACATCGTCCTCTATACTTGTGTCTCTACAACAGTCAGTTGCCATCCATTCTACAAAATTTCACCCATAAATATTATTCAATATGGATAAGATTTGATGTGAATTAATTATTTATATATTGGAACAGTTTTAGGTATGTGTGTTGTAAGTCAAAACTTCAAAAACAAAAAACCACTCTACTGGATATTTGGGATAACTGGAAAACTAATTTTAGTTACTTCACTATTCTTGTGACATTAACCAACTTCATTGTAACTTTGATTACTGGATGATTGATATAATTGAAAGCAGTAGTATTTGGAAATAACAGTTGATTATGGTTTTGGACATTAATCAATTTAATTGTAATTTTGATTGATTGATTATTTTACATGACACTAGTGGATGTAATTGATGTTGAAAAGGTAATTGGTTATATCAGTAACTCAAGTTAATTGCCTTTTTCTAATGATGGTTAGCTGGGGGCTCATGGCTGGATATAGGCTGATAGGTGTTAGATGAAATGAATGGGAACACCATGATGGGTAAAGGGCAATATTGTTATAAGAACTTATGAATCAAAATAAAGAAGAATGTAATAATATGTCACGGACTATATCTGCTATATCCAGTGCTGTCAAGGCCTTTCACCTAGTACTGGAAGTTGTCAGGCTGACCTGGATACAAATGTAGTAATGGTTGAGATACTATTTATATCACCAGTTACTTGAACAGCATCTGTTTCAGTGCAGAATAATTTATCAATTTTTCTTCTTGTCATTACAAATCAGTATTAGGTTTATGATTTTATTAACAGGAAATCATTTATTTATTTTAGCACCAATTGTATTATGTTGTATGAGAGATGTACTGCAGCCTGTTGGTACTGAAGACATAAAAAAAGTAGTCAAGAGATTTAATTTTCAGGGTTTTCAATAACTTGGAAACTTGAGTATTTCACACACAAATTTGTCTCAAAGGATTATTTATCACTCACCATATTTTTAGTCATGTGTATTAAAAAATACCCCTTATCAGGGTAATTAAACCTTGCTATACATGGCCAGTGTAAAAAGTACATGGTGCCAATCCAGTACTGCTATTGGAAGCCAAGTCGTTTTTGTCATACTTTGTAGAAGTATGCTCCACCCAAAGTCCAGTCAGTTAACAGTAGTGGATGTAAGACAGTGATCATGGCACAGTTAAGCACTGCCTAAGTCTATTTATTGACTAAAACACATGCACCTGCTCACTTACAATTGTGGAGGATTTGGAAAAAGATGTAATTAGGTTCCCAACTTGATTCTAGCTAATTAACTGTGCATGTTCTGACATTCATTGATTCAAATAATGAAGCAATTACTTTTGGTTCCAAGTTGTCTGACTGTCTAGTTTTTTTAATGGAGAGATTGCATTAATGGCCCAATCTTATCAGTAGTTAACTTTGATTTATTTATTAATAATCTTGATGAAATGGAATATTAAGTTTAACAGAAAAGCTAGATAAGATCATTCTCTTAGTAGACCTAAATGTGTTAAAATGTTGCAGAGAAAATAAGAGGTATTGCTAGAAAGTGTGTATGTATATGTAACATACATCAATAAAAAGTTTAAGAAGATAATACTTAGATTATGATTTTTATACTGTTATGAAGAAAATAAAATGTTGGTGTAGTTGGGATCATGGAAGCTTAACAATTATTGTTTAATATGTCAACTCGTAGGATTCAATATTTCATTCTTCACTTTTCAGTTTTCTCCCCTGTGATGAGACCCTGAAGGATATTTCACCTTCATCCATAAAGTCCTATTGAAAAACATCTACATTAGGTACAATCAGAGATTTCAAGGGTTGAAATTTTTATAATTGGCAGTTGATATAGTCTGCTTAAACAGATAACAAGGTCAATGAGAAAATGAGATCAGGATTGTAACTAATAAGAATATTGATGCAGTAATTATGGGAGACTAAGTTTACATGCATTAATTGGGATTGTATGGACTCAACTAATGAGAGAGAGAAGTTTCTTGATGTGATTACCACATATTGGTACAGTCAGAGAGTCAAACGTGGGGAATGCCATTTTAAATTTATTGTTAACCATTAATGAAGATATGGTTGCAAGAGTTAAAGTAGGGTAACATTTAGGAAAGAGTGATCATTGCATAATTCGGTTTGATGTTTTACTACATTTTGAAATAAAGAAAAACTTTTTTTCTAAATTAAGAAAAATAATTGAGGCCATGTGAAAAGATTTATCATTAGTGAATGGATTTGGTTGAAAAAGAGATTAAGAAATTCAAAAGGAATTATGAGAAAAAGCTATTTGACAATGTTGAAAACTTCTATCGTATGTTATTTTGCATAAACATTTACTATATTCTTCTAAAAACATTTATATTTAATATTACCATTAGGTGGATGATAAATAGTGCCAAATTAGTTTACTAAAAGTCTTGTCTTCAACTTCTATAAACATCATTTTGGCTACATTATCTTCAACTTCAAAAAGTAATCACTTCATTTTTAGGGTATATTCCATAACCTATCGCATTTCTATTTGATCATCCTTTACTACCTATAAAGCAGTAATGCTCTAATGCATATTGTGGATATTCATTAATCCAAGTTTCAGTTATTCCTCTAACTTAAAATATTTTGTTTTTATTTTGGATGTTTTTAAAAACACAGTTAATGTCTGAAAATATATCTTTTAATTTAATATGCTTCAAAGAAAACTTTTTTTTTTTCAATACTGTCACTCAATTGGTATTTGGTACATTTCATCAAATCAATAACATGTACTTTAAAAAAATTTGTATAGTAACTTGCATTCTACTTGGGACTACCTGAGGCAATTATAGTGTAAAAAATGGAGCTGGTATAATTTTCATTTCAACAGTAACCCCAAACTACAGGTATTCCTGTATAACTTATAACTTGAAATTTCAGTGAAGAAATAAAATAATCCATGAATGATGTAGAGGCCCAATCTGTTATTTGATTCGCTATCCCTTTGCAGTAAACTATAGGTTTGCTGAATCACAGATCTTCAGTACTGCTTTGGAGGGCAAACCAAAGCAATACAGTAGGCCTCCTTATAATGTTGTAATACAAACATTTTTTTTGGATTTGATGTAAAGGAATTTGCTCCAAATCTTAAAA